GGATCATGCAAAACAGTAACTTTGAAAGTCCTGTTCATTGCCGTTCCAGCAAGTAATGTAACAGTGGACATGAATAAGGACGCACAAACGTGCTAAATACATAAATTCACACCGGAATTTTGCATCTTTAAGACGGTGGCATTTTAAATTTTATGAATAAATTATTGTGCACTTTAAACTTATATTTTTTTTGACAACATTGCATGTTTTGCGGTACTAACAATAATAATTTTTAATATTTTTAATTTTTATATGCAAAATATTGATTTAACGCGTGATTAAAGTAATAAGATTTTTGGTTGTTTCCAAAATTTGCTCACCCCTGCTCTGTAATAAGATTTTTGGGAATGCAAATCTGATGGTCTCTTGTGTTTATGAATTTTTTGATGGATCATAAGAAAAAAGAAAACGTTGTGTCAAGCAAAAGAACTCAGCTAGGATTATAGATTAAGACTGTTTGTTATCATGTGTGTGTGTGTGTGTGTGTATATATATAAGATTTTTGGGAAATGCAAAATCCTGATTGGTCTCTTGTGTTTATGAATTATTTTGATGGATCATAAAAAAAAGAAAAACGTTGTGTCAAGCATAAAGAAACTCAGCTAGGATTATAGATTAAGACTGTTTTGTTATCATGTGTGTGTGTGGTGGTGTGGTGTAATATATATTATATTATTATATTTTTTTTTTTTTTCTAGAAACATTTTTTTTGATTTTTCGAGATATTTTTTTTTTTTTTTTCTAGAAAACATTTTTTGAATTTTTCGAGATTTGAGATGTTTATAAAACTTAGTCAATAAAAATATTTGTCTAATCAAGGAAAAAATAGATCATTCTGACCAGTTTGAAGAAAGGCGATTTCTCATTTTAAAAGAGAAATTTTTTTTACATTCTGATAAACTTATAAATTCAGAAAAACTTAACCATTTTGACCATTTGAAGGAAAGTGAATTCTCCTTTTAAAGGAGAAATATTTCCTAAACGTATTTTAATGGAAAAGAAAATTATAAACATACTTAACAATCCACCAATTATTGAACACAAGAAACCAACAATGTTCATTAACGTTTACCTGTCATCATCAACAGTGACCAACAGTCACCAGCGACTACCACAATTTATTACCTTTATATATATTTTGTCATACTTGATAATACAATTTTTAAAAATATAGAATTTTTTTTATAACTCTAAATGTTCATAGTTTTATGCAATTAAAAATTTAATATTTTTAACTAATCTTTAATATTATAATCAAATAAATAAATTATTTAGAAAATATTTGACAAGAAAAATATATTTTTCCTTGAAAAATAATTTCCAAGAGCAAAAGACCTAGAAACTTATTACGATTAGTATTGAGCACTGCTCAGAAAATTGTAAACAAGGAGTCAATTTCAAAGTGTGGATTCAAGCCAAAAAATTAGCAACCTATTGAATGATAGACAGAGTTGAGTCAATTTTGGCATCACTTTTTCAAAAGGAGTCATTTCATATATTAATTGACAAGCAATCTCAGAATTCAATTGACTACCTCAGCACACGCAAGTAGTCATCACATTGGATTAATTTTCAAACTTTTCTCCACTACTTTTGACAATTAGAAGAAACTTATGCATGAAGATTGCTGAAAAGTTCTGATCCCTAACAACTGAATTTACTGATACAGTTCTTGAACATCAGTGGGTTTCATGAATTCACTGATACTGCATGTAAGTAAACTGAAGTCAAATTAGTTTTATTTGACAGGGGTATTCTTAGAACCATAAATTTTAAGGTTTCACAGAGATATTAATGACAATTTTAAAAAAATTGAATCAAGAACTTTAATTTTGAAGGATTTGTAGAGTTTAAGATTGACATGGTAATAGTTTAAAATATTTGGTTCAGATTATATATGAAACCCAGAGGATGAGCAACAGACAAAAAAAAGTATATTGAAGAAATTAAAGGAAAGAATGTTTTATATTTCTTTCCATTGTGTATCTCATACAATCCCTACATTAGGTAATTTATATACAAGAATCTCTAGAATAGGAAAATAATTAACTAAGAAAGTCTAGGTAACTAGGAAAGTAAATCAATATTAAATACAAGAATCTCAACACTCTCCTCAAGTTGGTGCAAAGATACTACGCATGCCCAACTTACAAACCAAAGGATGAAACAATTTGCTATTCAAGTCTTTGTGAAAACATCCGCAGGTTATTCTTTTGAAGCCACATAGAAAACATTTATGGAACCTTCAACTATCTTTTCTTTTATCAAGTGACGATCAATCTCTATGTATTTAGTTTGATCATGCTGGACTAGATTATTCACTATATTGATGGCTATTTTACTATCACAACACAAGGATATATCTGTTGTTTCGAATAATTTTAATTCTCCCATCACTCTACGCAATCATAGCAGTTCATAGATTCCTTGTGCCATAGCTCTATACTCAGCTTCTGCACTGGACCTAGCAACAAAAATCTATTTCTGGCTTCTCCATGTGACCAAATTTCCACCGAGAAAAACACAATAACCTAAGGTTGATCTTTTATCATCAAGAGACCCAGCCCAATTTGCATCCATATAACATTTTATTTTCAAATGGCCATGTTTAGAAAATAACAATCTTCTATCTCAGGTTGATTTTAAATATCTCAAAATCCGATGCACAGCTTCTAAGTGAGATTCCCGAGGGTCATGCATGTACTGACTCACTAGACTAACAGCATAGGCAATATATGGTATAGTATGAGAAAGATAAATCAGTCTCCCAACTAATCTCTGATACCTGTCTACATCAACCGAACTTCCTACTCTAGCTTGAAGCTTGTGATTAGCTTCAATGAGCAATTCTACAAGCTTACATCCCAACATATCAGTTTCCTTAAGGAGATCAAGAATGTACTTCCTTTGAAAAATAAAAATTCCTTTTTCAGATTTAGAAACTTCAATTCTAAGGAAATATCTTAACTTTCCCAAATACTTAATCTCAAACTCCCTAGCTAACAAACTTCTCAAGTGAGTCATTTCTTCTTCGTTATTCCCTGTCACCACTATATCATCAACATAAACAATTTTCCAAAATACTTTTACTTAATCTCAAACTCCCTAGCTAACAAACTTCTCAAGTGAGTCATTTCTTCTTCGTTATTCCCTGTCACCACTATATCATCAACATAAACAATAAGTAATGTGATCTTACCTGCGTGATGTTTAATGAACAAGATATGATCAACATCACTTTGAATGTATCCAAAAGAAAACATGGCTTTACTGAATCTTTCAAACCATGCTCTTGGTGACTGCTTCAGCCTATATAATGACTTCTTCAGCTTGCAAACTTTCCCTCTGGTCTTGTCATCAGCAGGTCTAGGAGGAATCTCCATATACACCTCTTCTTTTAAATCACCATGTAGAAAGGTGTTTTTAACATCAAATTGATGTAACTCCCGATCAAGATTGGCTGCACAAGACAATAAAATTCTGATAGTGTTCATCTTGGCTACAGGGGCAAATGTCTCCTGGTAATCAACCCCATAGGTCTACTAAACCCTTTCGTTACCAATCTAGCCTTGTATCTCTCAATTGAACCATCTGCCCTATGTTTATCCCCCCTCCAAAATGTATGAACCATCTGCCTAAATGTTTTAACTGTAAAACACTCATTTAACATCCAACTGGCTTCTTTCCTGGTGGAGGCGAAATTACAAGATCTCAATGTCCTCGTTTTTTGCTCAAAAGCTCTCATCTCTTCAATCATTGCAGCTTCCACGTTTTTTGCCAAAGCTCTCATCTCTTCAATCATTGCAGCCTTCCATCTTGAGTCTTGTAATGCCTCTTGCCAATCCTGCGGTATAGAAACAGAAGAAACAGACAAAACAAAGGCTCTATAGGACGAGGACAGAACATCATAGGAGATAAAATGGGATATTGGGTGTTTAGTGCATGTTCTAACTCCTTTCTAAGAGCAATAGGAATATCAAGGTCAGTATTAGAGGGATTAGAATCAGGATTACGATCAGAGTCAATAGGGATTAAAGAAGACTCACCAGGTTCTTGTTCTTCTGTATTTTTAGGACCTGAATTTGGAGAGGACGGTTGAGCAGAGGTTTCATGCTCTATGGTTGTATCTGTATTACTCCGCCGTGTGTAGATTTTCAAATCAGGTATATCCAATCTTCCTAGAGTTTCTGTTGGTTGGTCTCTTTTATTATCTGTGTCTATAGGAATCTCCCCCTGGAAAGAAATCTCCATAGAATTATCTGTCACCTCTTCCATCTGACATTTCTCCCCCTGAAGAGGTGACTATAAGGGAAAATAAGATTCAAATTCCCTAAAGGTAACATTCATGCTCACAAAGTATTTTCTCGAAGGAGGATAATAACATTTGTATCCCTTTTAAGTATTAGAGCAGCCAAAAAACACACACTTCAAAGCTCGAGGATCTAATTTGCCTAGATCGTCCTGATGAACAATACAAAAACAGCTAAAAACTTTAAGAGGTACAATATAGGAGTTTTTTCCTTGCAGAACCTCTAATGGAGTTTTAAAGTTTAAAGTACGAAGAGGCCTTTGATTAATAAGATAAGCAGAAATCAAAATAGCATCCCCTTAATATGGTTTAGGAAGAATCATAGTAAACATAAGAGACCTAACTACTTCCAGTAAATGCCTATTTTTCCCTTCAGCTACTCCATTTTGAGCACTAGTACTGATACAACTTGTTTGATGTATGATACCATTAGAATCTAAATATGTACGAAAATTTGCATTTATGTATTAAGTACCATTATCAGTTCTTAGGATTTTAACATGTGCATCAAACTAAGTACAAATCATTTTATGGAAGTTCTGAAAACACGAAAAAACTTCATTTTTCTCCTTTCATCAAATAAACCCAAGTCAATCTAGTGCAACAATCAATAAAGGTCACAAACCATCTATAACTAGAAAGGGAAATAATTTTAGTAAGACCTCATACATCAGAATGAATAGTAGCAAAATGTACCAAACTTTTATTATTAATTGGAGAATAAGAATGTCTAGTGTGTTCGACAAGTTCACAAGTATCACATACTAATAAATCAAAATCACACTTAGTGGACAAAGTGAAAAATAAATGTCCTAAAATAGAAAAAGAAGGATGTCCTAATCTCCTATACCATTGAAAAACCTCATGGAAAGGATTTTTAGAAGTTCCTAACGAAGATTGACTAATACCCGGATTTGAAAAACAACACACATCATCCAACAGATACAGTCCATCGCGCAAGCTACCACTGCCAATCGTTATCCCTGTGTTCAACTCCTGAAATATGCAATCAGTAGGGTAAAATGTTACTTTGCAATTAAGTGCTTTTGTGATTAAGCTAACAGATAAGAGATTAATAGGAAATCTAGAAACCTGAAGAACAGAGGAGAGATTAATATTGGGAGTACAATCAATAGAACTTGTGCCAGCAATCGATACTAAGGAGCCATCCGCAATGTGGATTTTGTCGGTGCCTCGATATTTAGAATATGTAAGGAAATGTTTTATAGAGCCTATTGTATGTTTGTTTGCTTATGAATCTATAACCCAAGAGGATTTTGCAATTTTAGCAAGGAAAGTAAGAAAAGTATTAATTGAACTGACAAAATTAGAAGCTGCAGTCTGAGTTGAGCAAGAATTAAGCTGTGACAATAATCGTTTTAGGGACAGAATTTCCTTATCAGAAAAGCTACCAACAGTAGATGGTTCCTCAGATAAAGCTCAACCATTAGATATGTGCGCATGTGGTCTAGAAAAAGTGACATTTCCCTCCATGCCCCTTAGTTGGGTGTCCATGTAATTTCCAGCAGAACTCCTTAGTGTGCCTATTCTTACCACAACAGTCATAAACTACCTGATCTCTACCCAAAGAGCCACTCTTCGCAGCCTGTATTTGTTCTCTTGCAAAATGAGCAATCAACCCTGTTTTATCAACCATAGACCTGTGAACCATGGCACTCCTCTTAGTCTCCTTTTGTTGTACAAAGGAGTATGCTTATCGCAAGGATGGGAAAGGGTCTCGTCCAAGAACTTGAACACGAATATGATCATACTCGTTATCTAAGCCCGCCAGAAAATCATACACATGTTATACTTCAATCAATTTCTAAACTTGTGCATCATCAGGACATTTTGCTTGAAAATCTTAGTAATAATCCAGTTCCTGCCACAACCCACTAAGTTCTGCAAAATATTGAGCAACAGCAAGATCCCCCTGCTTTGTCTCATGAACTTTCTATCGCAATTCATATCTCCGAGCATAGTTTCCAGTTTGTCAATACGTCTGTGAAGCAGCATCCCATATCTTCTTAGCTGTATCAAGGAGCAAAATATCCTCAGGAAATAATTGGCTGCATGGAATTTATTAACTAAGGCATAATAAGAGAATTCTTGGATTTCCACTTGTTAAAGCCTGGATCTATCGAAACTGGTTTTGTTGCTCCACCATCAAGGTATCCCTGCAAATCTCTAGCTTCAATGATAATAAACAGGACCGAGACCAAGCCATGTAATTTATTCCATCTAACTTCACCGGACTAATCTGAAGTGAAAGGCTCTCTGAGTGAAAACCCATATCTACCTTCTTTTCGTCACCCATACTCTCAGACTAAAAAATAACACAAGCGATAGTAGTGGAAATAAGTCAAAAAAGGAAAAAATTCCAAAAAGGCAAAACTAGCACTGAAGAACCAGTGGGTCAGAATCGCAGCACCAAATCGAGGCTGCTGGAACAAGAAACGTTGATGGAGCTCGCTAGAAACAGCCGCACATGAAGAACGACCAGAAATTTCTGGAGGCACGTGTGCACACACGCGTGGTCGAATGGCGACGCGGTTTGGATGGAGGGTCAATCGGCGGTCGCTCTCCCTTCTGAGGCGGGCGTTGATGACCAACTCTCACTCTCGGCAATCCCGTGTGTATCTCATACCACCCTAGACCGAAACCGTTGCCGAAAAATTCACAGCAATGGCTCTGATACCATGAATAAATTAAAGGAAAAAATGTTTTGTATTTCTTTCTATTTTGTATCTCATACAATCCTTACACTAGTTAATTTATATACAAGAATTTCTCTAGAATATGAAAATAATTAACTAGGAAAGTCTAGCTAACTAGAAAAGTAAATCAATATTAAAATACAAGAATCTCAACATATATAAAACAGAAAATTTATCAGATTCCAACCTATAATCCTATGCGTATGAAGGAATCAGTAAGAACACAAGGTTGGATATTGGAAAATATTAAATTATCTCTTATATATCACAGAGCACATTCTTGGCAACATTGAGGGAGAAGAGCATGATGGAGTTCGAAGGACATGTGCAGCAGTTTCAGATGGAATTACTCAGGAACATGTGAGACAAGAGATCAGTTATAATACGAAGTAGGATATTGACAAAGATTAAAATATGTCTTATATATCAGAAAACACATTCTTGGCAATAGCGAAGGAGAAGAGCATAATGGAGTTCCAATGACATTTATGCAGTTTCAGATAGAATTGCCCAAAAACTTGTGAGAGAACAGTACAGCCTGGATAAAATACATAAACAGAAATGGTGATGCATTACAACTTGGTCAAAGTGGTCACCAGACCGCGAGGTTCATCTCATCTTGCAAACTAGGGTACTCAACCCATTTATATAGACAAACCAGTAATATCAATCAATTTTCCACAAGCAAATGAGACAAACTGGAAAAGTATGGAGTTTTAAGGAAAGCTTGTGTTTATTAATATACAAAATATAGAGGTGCAGCTTTAGATGTATGAAATTACCTAATTTAACAAGGGGAAGAATTACTGCTCATAGCATGACCCTGGACCAGTTGGAGGTTGTCGAGCATAGAAATTTTTGACGGGAGCAGCTTGAACTCCGCGCCTATTTAATAGACATCTGAAGTAGTGGAAGCGGGGCAAAGCTGTTAAGGTAATATTTCCTGAAGATATGGCCTCTCTTCTACTCCACATGCGCTCTGCACAGAACATAAAGTGGAAAGCAATAACCATGCTAAGAATCAGCAAAGGAGAAATGTATTAAACATTATTTCAAATTGAAAAACAGGTCTTCACCGCTGGTGCATGAAAATAACAAGAAAACTGCAAATGGACTGATAGCCATTAAACACTATTCCCAAAGAGCATGTTTTAATTGCCAGCCACAGAAAAAAAAAAAAAAAAAAAAAAAACAGAAATAAAAAAAAAAAAAAAAAAGCACTTGTTGATCATCTAATGTTGAGATAGGAAGAGTTTTTATGGTGTTTTAGTTCAGAAATTTTCAGATAAATCTCTCTAATTAATACCGGTGGATCAGTGAGCTGTTATTTTATCAATAATTTTATTTCATTAATGTTCTATTTTTTTTGTTTCTTTGTTAGGAGATGTCCATTCTCCCTTGTCATGTTCATTCTTCTGTCCTAATATTAAATTCTTTGCAGAACAAGCTTTCCAGCAGAAAATCAAGAAATGATTTCCCAAGAGATGTCTAATTTAGTGGAACTTTGAGCAAATTGGTCCAAAAAAAAAAAAAAAAAAAAAAAAAGCACTTGTTGATATGTATGTTGAGTTAGGAAGAGTTTTATGGTGTTTTAGTTTCAGAATTTTCAGATAAATCTCTCTAATTAATACCCGGTGGATCAGTGAGCTGTATTTTATCAATAATTTTTTTCATTAATGTTCTATTTTTTTTGTTTCTTTCTGTTTAGGAGGATGTCCATTCTCCCTTGTACATGTTCATGTCTTCTGTCCTAATATAAATTCTTTGCAGAAAAGCTTTCAGCAGAAATCAAAATGATTCCCAAGAGATGTCTAATTTATTGGAACTTTGAGCAAATTGTCCATTTATTATAGATTAAAATAAACAAAAAAAAAAAAAATGTTTTTAGTGTGACACTATTAATTTCTAATGCCACTCTTGAAAATTATCTATGTTCAAACCAGGGATACCTGCAGCTGCTGCAGCTCGAGGCCATATAGTCTGCTGAATATCTGAGGCATCAGCTGTCTCACCCCACATGCATACTTCTCCTCCTAGTACAAGCTTTTGCTCAGAAGCAATATTTATTCCTTCCAGAGGCTCAGCTTTGTAAACATCATACCAAGGGACATCTAGATGATCAAGATACCAAAAACCTTGGTTACTAAAAATGCATCTGAAACCTTTGGCAACAGCCTTTGGACAAACCCCACCACCTAACCTGTGGCATCACATAAAAGGGTTCATTTTGAGATAATGACAGAATAACAGCTTTAGCTAGATATAATATTACAAGTAAAGGAATAGAACATACCAGTTGTGCACTATAGTCCTTGGATGAAGTTTTGATGCAAAAGCATTAAACGTTTCCTCCCTGAAATGACAAAATTCAGACTTGCTACATCTCAATAGAATTAAATGAAGAATACATTGTTGGCTCAAGGTTACAAATCCTATATTTTGGTGAATAACAAAACAAATATATTGGAACTTATTATTATACTTAAGTTCAAATTGCAGAAATTTCAAATCCAAAGAAGTGACGATATAATCCTTAGCATTCAAGATAGAAGATTTATTGAAGACACCTTGAAGATTAAAGGTAGTGTCTTAGTTAATATGATCATTAGGTTTTATGTTAAAATAGAAAGATTAAAATGCATCTTTAAGCACAAAAATATTTTTACATCTTTCTTCATTCATTTATTATTTCAAAAGTTGATTTTAAATAGGTTTCCATCAGAAACAGATTTAAGGTTCAAAAATTAGGGTTTACTCTCTAAAATCATTTTAGGAGAAATTTTAAAAATCAAATTCTGATTGGCTAGGACTTAACCAAACCTAATTTTCTATCTTTAGTTAAAAGGCCCAAAAAGCCCATCTTTCTTCCCTCTTCTTTCTTTCCTTTTGCCGCCCTTATCCTTCTCTCTTTCCTGTTGATTTCCCCAACGTCTCTCTTTTGTTTGTAACGGGCAAATCAGGTGTGAGTATAAAAACTCAGTTGGGCAGATTTTTTATTTAAGAAGAGAAACTCTGAACCTAAGTGCCAACTTCTTTTCTTCTCTGTTCTTATTGAAAATCTTTGAGATATGAAAGATGTTTTTCAACAACTTATTTTTGAAGCACAACTTATGACTTCATCATGTTATGATTTTTAAATTTGTTCTTCCTATGCTTAAACCTGCATTTCTCTCTGTCTATTATAGATTCCATGTAATCATTAGTAGATTAGACATTTTCAACTTAAAAATCAAGTGTGCTACTGTTACTTTTCAGATATTGTTCTGACAAACTTAATCAAGTTATACATTTTTTAAAATGGCTTTTAAGATCATGACTGAAAAATCCTACATGTTATTCAAATGTAAACAGAAACGCGGTATGTAGAAACAGAACTGTGAAAAATATCTTTATGTACTATATGAATCTACAGATTATCACTAAATTAGTAGGACAGATCCACCATGGAATCATAATTGTCCAAATGGGTCACAGGTTACTCATGAGTTTGAATAGTTAAACTGGGTCTGAAATAAAAGAGACTTTGACAATAGCACACTCCATCTCTTGGGCTTTCTGGGCTTCCTAGTCCAACTGACCAAGCAGTTCCATGTCCAACAAGCATGTTTAATAGATGGTCCATTCATTAACACAAGCAATTGTTAAATTGATGAAATTACTTGATTGATAGCACTAATAAGCATTTCAAATTCTAAATTTCATTAGGCTTAGAGAGTAAAAGCCATAAGAAAAATTAAAATGCTGAAAATAATTTTATTGTTATAGCTGTATACATACCAGTTAACAGGGTTCCAACCTTTAGAAATTGCTATTTCTTGAGCTCTGAGTACAAAATATTGATATGCGTCCTTAGTAGTCAAGTTGTGATCCTCAAGCCTACAATTCAATAAACATTAATCTTAATGACATTATGATCTCTGAAACTCAAATTTAGAATATGAAACATTCAATAAAAGAATAAGTAAACATTGAATGCCCATAATGTCCTTATGGAAGAGTAACTATAGTTCCTTGGTTTCGTATCGAAGAATTTCTTGGGAATCCTACAAGATCCATTCGTTCTACATTCGTAGTCTCTGAAGGATGAGAATTTGGTCCCAAGTCCATTCAATGTTGCAATCTGTTTCCAATCATCTAATTTCACACAAATCATCAAGCTTTCACCTATGCACAGTGATTGTACATACAATAATACAGAAGAAAAAAAATTGGATCATCAAATTATAGAGCAAAGCCAGTCACTTTGTTGCTCATATTTATCATTGATTGTACCTATTAAACACTAAATCATGCAACTTTTGAGCTCTGCAATAGATAAGTAGGAAACCAAAAGAGACAAACTTGACTCCTCTTGGAAAATATAGTTCAGAAGCAGGCACACCATGAAAGCATGCTAGCCACCATGCAAGTACTACATGCAAAACAAGTGTCAACTACCAATTCCGTATTTGGGAAAGTGAAAGTTGAGAACATAAATGTCATGATTAAAATAAAATAAAAAAAATCTCCAAAGCTAGGTAGAATTCAATTCTCAACTTATTGTTCTTCAGTTTGAAAGAATTGGATCTCATCAAACTCAAAAATGAAATTTATCTCTAGAAAATCATTAATGATAACAAAAGCAGAATCCTGTGCATTCTTCATTGCTCATTGTTATTTATGTACCACATAAGAAAAGGATCTCATACAAGATGAAGTGACATGCACAATTCCCTCATTGTCTGATGGCTGTAACAAAATTTAAATCATGATAACATGTACTGATAAGTCTAAATGCAACAAAAAGGCCTAACAACCAAAAATACCCTGAACTATGAGTTTTTGGCAATTTTACACCAATCTATGAATTTCAGCTATTTTGCCAAAACTTGGGAATGATTTTACCCCATAGTCAAATTGGGAGGAAATTATAACTTTCTCTCTCCTACATGGCTGTAGTTAAATAAAAAAGGAAAAAGATGAGCCCCATGGATTAAACCAAACCTATGTTGGTTGACCCAACTCACCAAACTAATCCATTAACTAGATCAACCTTTCATTTCTTTTAGAGCTGCTTCCAACACACCGATTTAAACATGTAGTTAGGCAGGCTTGGGTTAGACATGAATAGGTTTAGGTCATAAACGAGCCAACCTGTTTATGGCACGTCAAAAAGTTAGGATTTCAATGGGTTGCCCCTGTAACCTTTAATTATACGAGATAAACCATTCAATTAACCACATTTGTATCTTCACACATTATATACGACCCATTTAAACCATGTAAGAGTTATTTAACTTATACTTTTAAATAGAATTTTGGCATTATATAATATTTGAAATATTTTGTCGCATTTATTGTTAAATATATAAATACCTTTAAATTTATTATATAATAAGAATTTAAATGCATTGAAATTATTTGAATACACATTTAAATAGGTTAACTCTGTCTGCAAAGTCACCCACATAATGAATATGTCCGGGTTAGAGTTTGAGAATGTTGACAGACCAATAAACGGATAGAGGGTTAGCTACTTTTATGTTATACCTTCAATTTGACACGACAAGCTTATGTTACATGGCATGAATTGTCAGCTCTAATTTCTTTTTCAAAAAAATAAAATGATAATAAAAAAAAAAAAGAGCAGACAGAGGGAGTGAGAAAGACTGTCCAAGAGAGAGTAGCGAGAGAGAGAGGAGCTAGAGCTTCAACATCTAGCCATCGCCAACAAGAACTGAGGCAAGTATCACCACCCCCATCCTTCATTGACTCTAAGGACACTTGGATTGATGGATGGAAATAGAGATAGCAATGGCTCTGTTCAAGGAAAGAGAAACTACAAAGTTGCAAACTTCTAAGCTTCTCCTCTTCATTATACAAGCATAAATGTCTCAGTGTAAAATGATTCCAGTTTCATTTCATCCTATCCTGATGTCAGATGGGTGTAGTTAAGGTGCCAAAAGATTCCTAATGGTGTTAGCTTAAAGATAGCACCAACAGCATTACCAATCTGCCAAAGTTTAGGAGAAATACTAATTCAAAAACTTTTATCATGTGGTAATTTTATATGTTGATAAAGGCTTTTTCTTAGTAGAATCATCAGCTATAGCAATTAATGGAGACCTTAGTAAGGTTAGGGAAACCAATCCCTAAGCTCTGTTAGACACTGATCTGTAGCTTTTTGTTCCTATTCTGTCTTTTTCATTTAGAGAAAGAGAGAGAGAGAGAGAGAGAGGAAACATGAAAGGAGCGGTTTAAGGGAGAATAGAGATACAGTACATTAGTTTGCCAGGTGGGGTTAACCCAACATAAGTTAGATTCAATCTTTGAGTTCATTTTTTATTTTTTTATTATTCAACCATGTAGGAGAGATAAAGCTTTAATTTGTCCTGATTTAACTATAGTATAAAATTATTCCTAAGTTTTCAAATTAGGATAATATAAGGGGAATTCATAAATAGGGGCTAAAAATTGTAAAAGCTTGCAAAGTTTGGAGTACTTTTGGCCATGAGACTGAACGAAAAAAGGTAAGCTGAATTCGATATATCTATTTTTACTAATGCCGTTCAACCTTGCTGCTGCCTAGACAAGTCTTGTGTGCTTATTTGAATAACATTTGTGTCAGAGTTGTAAGACATAATGTAACAAGTGAAAGTAGACAAATCCAATTAGTTCAGGTACGTACCATTCCTTCACATGTAGAGTAGTGTTCCAGCAATCTGTCAAGGTATTGAACCAATTGGAATCACTAACCCGCAAAAGGCATTGAGCATAAATTATTAAATAGGGGAGAGAGGGAGAGAAAAAAGGATTGCAGCAAGCTACAGATTCCAATTATGTAAAAATATAAAGCAAATAAGAATAAATTTTATAAGTAATAGAGATCAAATGCTCAATGACATTGGCCCCCTAGCTTCTGTGCATGATACTCAAGCTCTCTCACATCACAATCTACTTGTTCACTTGACCAGGAAAGTATCCATGGATGGAACCACAGCAAATGGGAGGACCTCCCAATCCCCCACCCAACCCAAAGAATACATACTCCCTCTGTTCCACTCAAACTGTCAGTTTTTAAGGCTCTTCTTGTTTCACTCTAAGTGTCATTTTTCAGAATTCAAGAAAGAATTTGTTACACTTTTACTTCTTTCCCCTTATTTATTGATATTGGAAAACAAAACTAATAGAGTAATACTCCATTAATCATGAAAATTAATAAAAGGTATTAAGGAATTTGAAGTAAAATTTTTTAGAATTAAGATAAAATTAATTATTTTCTTGGTCTATGTGAAAAGCTAAAAGTTGACAGTTGGAGTGAAATGGGTGGAGTATTTTGTCTTTTTCATTTTTTACCCCATTAGTTTATGTCCCTTCCATTCTAACTTTGGGCTTCCTCAAAATTTATTTTTCCTTTTCATCCCTAATAATTTCGATCTCCAGTTAACTTTACTACCCTTATTTTCTTCTATTATCACCCCTATTAAATTTTCATTTTAGTCCCTCTTCCCACTTTATTTTGACATGAGCCCATTTTTTAATTTATTTTTTGCTTTGTATTTTAATAGTCTTTTAAGAGTCTTGGCTTCTTAATTTCATATTACTATAAAAATGCTTAAACTAGACTCAATCTATTGTATAGCTAAGACATAGTAAAATTTTACTTTATTATATAATAAAGTTCATAAGTAACCATTATTTAATTACTTTTTTTAATATGGTTAAGTATAGATTATACCACTAATGTTGGCCACAATCTCATTTTTATTTTATGAGCTCTTTTAGATGGGTTTTTATGAAGTTTATAATAATTTAGTAATTAAATTTTCCCTAGTAATTCATTACTACTTTATACTGATGACAATATTTAAAATTTCATAATCATGTGAAATTTAACATTTGATTAAAAAATAATATTTTCATTGTTTTTGATATTTGAAAGAGCTAAAATTTTAATCAATAAAACATATTTTAAAGTATTCAAATAATAGAGTTTTCATGTGTGTGTCAGTTTGTGTGTATATAATTTTTTATTACTGAATAACATCTCAATATTTTGATTTAGCCCACTTAAAGTTTCATCCTGGTTTTGTCCTTCAGTACCAGATGCTAAGATACGAAAAAATTAGATTTTAGCAAAACTGGAAAAAATCGATTTTCAACAAATAAAGAGCTGCAAAAACTGATTTAAAGATAACGTTTCTATTATTCCATGATTTCAATACTAGACAAAAACAAAACGCACATCAGAAAGCCACAAAAGCCTTGCAGTCTGCTTACTACTGCTGATAAATACAGCACACAATTTTTACAAATAACTATATTCCTATTAAGGGCCTGTTTGATTTAGTGCCATGGTGGGCTATGAACTGTCAACGACCGGTCAACAATTCACACTCTATTATTGCAATTGATTGTAAAATATTTGATAATTCATAACAGTTGAAGGTGCAGTTCAATTGTAAAATGATAAGGTCATTACTATAGATAGAGAATCTATTTCCACAGCCCCTCAAATAATTTATCTATATGAATAACTATACTAAATAACTTAAAACTCTCTTTCTCGCTACTTTCTCAAAATTAATAAACAAAAATCACATTTCTGCTTTTTTTTCCCCCTTTTTCTTTTAACAGTTTCTTCACATTTAAAATTACCAAGAAAGTATAAGTATTCTGCATATTAGTTATCACTATCAATATGTTACCAGTACCAAGCTAAATTTCAGGTTCTAACCAAGACATCTTTCTTTTCTTTTTTTTTTTTTTTCTTTTTCCTTTTTGGTTGGATTGCAAGGGAGAAAAGGCCACGAAACAAACTAAAGATACTTATTCTAGGAAATTAAACATCATAATCTCCTCTTGAAGTAGATCTCTGTGGCTAGCTTCCAGGTTTCAAACACATGAAGGTCAATTATCAAAACAAGATATGATGATCATTTTGCTTGCACCCCTGCTTCCTTTCCTATAGATGTGAACAATATTAAAATCCCAATTTTGTTCAACTAATTTCCTAACTACACAAACCAAACATTAGCTTCCACTTAAGCCTACATAAATTTGAATCATAGAGCAAGACAACTGTTATCCACTTCTAAAAACCCTTTACTGCAACCAGAAGACAAGCTATGTAGGTAGGCCCCAAAAACTTCTGCAAATGTATACCATGCACTTTGTTTAACATGCTTTGGTTTGTTAAGATCCAATTTAAGAAAATAAAGAACGAAAGAACGAAACATAATTTTCCTTTTTATTTTTAGTTCTCTCATAAAAACTGAAAGTAGGTGACATTAATACGAGAAGAATCAATAAAATATAAGTAATAATCATTTTAGGAAAGAAAATTATTTAATTATTACTACGAGAAGAATCAATAAAATTTAAGTAATAATCATTTTAGGAAAGAAAATTATTTAATTATTTTACTTCTCTTGAATATTAATTCATAAATTTGGTTTTGGCACTAGCAAATGGAGTTGTGAAAGCATGGTTATTAAAGCTTAGGAGTGCCTTACTAAGGCTCAAGGGCTTCTGCCTCAACAGTACTGAGGCAGGGAACCTCCCTCAGGCCGTCGCCCCTGTGTAGAGGCATTCACCTTTTTGCACCTTAGGCTGTGCGCCCTTCTATTTTTTTCCAGAACAAATTACCTAGGTTTTCTTCAATATAACACTGTCCAGCTAGCATATATTTAGATAAATAAATAAAGAAAGAAAAGAAACAGAATGCAACACAAAAACCAGTGATGTGCTTTGTGATCTAGCCTCCATTCCACCATCTAATACTCGCCTCCTGCAATCTAGTCTTTAGCAAGCAGCCATTCAGATATGCCTCCCTCAATTCTTCTTATATTTGCTTTCTATTTTCTTTTCTTTTTTGTTTTTTCATATTCTTGATTCTATTCTTTTCTATCTTAACTCCAATATCTTAAAATATAAGTCGTCATGTTGCCAAACTTTTTTTTTCTGATTTATGTGCTTTTTTTCCATGCTTTTCTAATTTTTTAACATTACTATGTGTGAAAGTAGGGACTCGCTTTTACATATTAATGATAAATTCTACTAATTATATACAGTTACTACTTTTAACATTACAAATATAATACAAATTAATAAAAATAACTACACATATTTTATATTTTCAGAAAGTACAGATTTTATTTCTATAATTTGATGCATGTACGGGGGCATGCACACAGACAAAACAAACAAAAACACACAAATACATCAATTATGGGTTTGAATTAATTTGTATTTGACTATATGTTTGCACACAAATATTAAAAAGTTGAAAATAAAAATAAAAATCTATATCTTTTTAATTATTAGGAAATATTTTTTAAATTAATTAGAACTAAGATGGTATTTTTTTAAAAAAGCTAGTCAGCAAAATAAAAATTTTAGCTTTCGATTCAAAAGCCAACTTTTAGTTATACAGTTCAAAAGCTAGCAGTTGATAATACTACGCTGTTTGTTTTTAGTTTACCAAACAACAAATTTCAGCACAACTGTTGCCTTTCAGAATCTAATCCAAACTGGGAATCTATATAATGAGACTTTTGGTTTTAATAATTATATGAAATACAGTAGAATCTATGAAACAGAATGAACTACCTTCTGTTTTAACACAACAGAGAACCATTTTTGTTGTGGCTATGTACTCCTTTTGTTGATTAAAGGATAAAAATGAAAAACTCAGCTTCCAGAAGTCATGCATACTAACCTGTGTTAACCTCATCACCACCCAAGTGGAAGAGCCCAAAAGGGAAGATTTTTCTGAGGTCTGTAAGACAAAATTTCATACATAAAATTATATGAGACGAAACACATGCCAAAGGTGACAAATGGATTTACATTTCACAAAAATACATTAAGTAAACCCCAAGAACTCCAACAATCGATTATGAATTCCATAAATCAAGTTACTAAAATATCAAAGGAAAAATCTAATTAAAATTTGCTTCATGCACAATTTCTCCAGACATATCACAAGTATACCATGTTACACAATAATAAATAATTTAAAAAAGATCAACAAAATAAGTTGCAGAGAACAGATAGTAAGGAAAAGAAGTTTAACCTGTCAGAATGCCAGATACAACATCAAAAGTAAAATTTTTTGAGACATCAAGTGGCTCTCTACATGAAACAGAAGGCCAAAGATCAGGATATCCAGTTCCCCTGCGTAGAAAGAAGATCACAAACTTAGAGAATTTCAAGTAGTGAAGAATTGTCTGTGCTGCCACTGGATGGAGTATTAATGCAGATTATGCCTCAACTCAGGCGAGTTTGTCTCCCTAATTCAAGGCGATGTTAATTCTTAATGAATTAAAGTTAACACTTTAATTTCTTTCTGCAAACCAATGCACAAAAGAAAAATAACTCCAAAAAGATAAAAGTTGAGTATCTTCTTAATTCCACATTTGGAGTAATCAAAACACAGAAAGTTACGTAACTTCTAGCCATACATGATTAAGAACCATAAAGTCTAAATAGTAAATGCCAAATGATTAAGAAATACAATAACTCCTAGCTAAACCAAGATAATTTCTCTATAGATAATTCCACATGCATCAAGATATTGTAATAGAAAATAAGCAGTGCCGTACCATGATTCTGCATGACCAGGGACATCTATTTCCGCCATAACATTGATACCTGCAATGAACCATCAAGTGATGCTAAGAGAAGTGCACAAAACAAAAGCCAGAGCCATTTGAACACCAACCGCTCCCCCCCACCCAAAATTAGGTAAAATTGCCAAAATGATTAAAAACAATACTCCTAAGCTGAAAACCAAGATAATTTTCTCTGATCGAATAATTCCACAGCATCAAGATATTGTAATGGCAGAAAATAAACAGTCGCGCCTGTACATGGAATTTCGCATGACCAGGGAACTCACCTATTTCCGCCATAAACATTGATAGCCTGCAAGAACCATCTAAAGTGATGCTAAGGAGTGCAGCAAAACAAAAAAGTGCCAGAGCCCATTTGAAAACACCAAACAGCGCGTCCCCCCACCTCCCCCCCCCCCAAAAAAAAAAAAAAAAAAAAAAAGAGAGAGAAAAATAAAATAATACATAAAATAGAATACAAATCATTCTGTAGGTTAAAAAAAAAAAAAAAAAAAAAGAGAGAGAAAAATAACAATAATAATAAATAAATAAATCATTCTGTAGGTTAAGCTCTTACAGGGCCTACTTACAAAATCATTTCAAATTATTTTAGACATTGAATTCTACAATTTCACATTAAAAAAAAATGCTATTCAACTAAATAGGTGAAGAAAATTCTTGGGTCAAAGATGTGGCCTAAATATTATTTTGTAAAGTTCTTGGTTTCATAAAACTTAAACATAAGACTCACCTCTTAATTTGGCGAAGCTTAAGTCATACACATGGAAACATCAAAAAATAAAATCAATGTTAGCCTTTACAGAGTAGGGATGCATGATATATAATAAAAAGAGCAAGATAAGAAGCTGTGAACAGTAAAGAGAGAGAAGGAAGATGAGAAGAATAAGAAAAATTTTCTATTATTTACCAAGATATTAATTTTCAAATCATACATGTTGCTTTCACTAGATGCTTTCTCTTTGATTTACAATGGTCATCACCATTATCATTTCTTTTTCTTTTTTGTTAAGTGTTATCAATTTTTGTGTTTGCCTCATACCAAAATAATCAGCACAAAACTTACTTCACAATCTCATAGGCGTCCTCAACTGTGTACCGCTCCCACTTTGTATATGAACCTTTCCACAATTTTGGATATGTTGGTATTTCTAACGGAAATGACTCCTCATCAATAATGTGCCAATGAAGGACATTCTACTGAATGTAATTTCCAATGTCAGCATTACATGCAGAACAGTAAAATAAAAAAAAATATGGTAAAAATGAAGTCCATGCTTCGCTTTTTAGTGATGAAATACAAAGCTCTCAAATGGATAGCATATCTTACAAGTTTAGCATATGACATTGATTCAATTATCTGCTTAATGACATTAATCGGTAAATAATGCCTGGACGTATCTGCAAAAGTATGGATCACAGAGGAATTTAATAGCATTTCAGGACAAATCGATATTGGCTGCAATAATGTTTTCTTTCACTGCAGAAGAAATAAGGCTCACCAAGCAAAAGTCCACGAAATGCAAATCTTGGTTGGTCTTGAATGTACCATGGTGCCTTGTAGATTTGTACAGATTTAGTTCCATAATCAAATGTACATAATTGGCTGAATGTCTGAAAAACCATTGAAAAGAAGATTGAATGAAGAAAAGTGACCTGCACAACTAAAACCACTCAAGAGCTCATAAATATCTCATAGCAGTTAGTTGCATTTTTGGAAACTAGACTAGCTTCCACATCCAAAACAATTGCAAGCATACAGCTTACGAAGTACACAGAATAATTGCTCACAGACCTACCAGAAAAAAGTACATAATAAAGTTCTCGAAATTTAAGTCCCCAACATCTAATGCTTTCTTATTATTTAAATGCTTATCAATTCACATATAATGAAGAAAAAAAATTTAGCGTTGGCACCATTAAACTAGCTCTAGCTCAACATCATTAAACTAGCTCAACATCTTTTGCTTCTCTATCCTGTTATTAACATTTATAAGGATAAGGATCTGTATTATCTCACAAATTTCTGGGAGTTGGCTGAGTCAGCTGCAAATTAAGCCAGAAAGGAGGTATGGATAGTATGCAGAAAGGTAAAAGAAACAAAATCAATGCAAAGAAACCAATATCACAATTTCTATCCATTAATACACAACACTGCCTCATATGAAATATTAAACTCTATTCTCGCTTTGCCACTTTGTTCAGGTCTGTGACATGCCAAATAGTTTTGTGTATACAACAGGTTGGTATTCACAAGAATTCTTCTACTCTATTTCTTCCCATAACTTGTAAGACATTTTACACACGGTTATAAATAAAAAGCAAAATGGCCAAATCTTTTCAGTAGCTATTTTGCGGTTCTGACAACATAATAGCAAACTGTCCATTTACACAATATAGCCTATTTGTTTGTTATAAGAAATCTGGTTGACAACACCAATGGAAACAACTAATTCGCAACAACTGTTCCAAGGAGACAACAATTTGCTTAGAAAATTCTTCATCTTCAAACCTTATTATCATGGATTAAACCGTTAGCAATGACACCACCCCAACTGACAGAAAGCTTTAGGCCCAGAACAAGGACTTGAATGGAGGTCAACAGGTAAGAGAGAGAGAGTATTTGGCACCCCTCTGGTTCTTAAGTTCACAAAAACCCACATATACATGAAAGTCCACAATATAGAAATAAATATGTAGAAAAACCCATTATAGAAAATTTAAAAAAAAAAAAAAAAAAAAAAAAAAAGAAAAACCCATTATAGAAAATTAAAAAAAAAAAAAAAAAAAAAAAAGAAACATTCACAAGCTGATTTAAAAAAAAAAAAAAAAAAAAAAAGAAACATTCACAAGCTATTTACATGTAGAAATAAATATGCATGGTACTACTTTATTGTGCAATTCGCTGATAGTCATAAATACCTCCAACCCTCGCAGTGCGCCATAGACAGTGTTTGCCTACAAAAAAGAAATATATATCCATATGAACATTATTTGCCTTCAAAGAAGGGAATAGCAACATTTCATAGATGAAAGGCACGATTAAACTTAAAATCCACAGGTTGACAACTGAACCAAATATATAGCCCATTTTAGACTTTGTGAATAAAGAGATTTTTCTTTATTATAAGAACATACTAAAGCCCACATCTTAGTATTAAAGAAATATAAGTGAAACCAAGTGATGCATCCCATGAGAAAATGAAGAGTTGAAAATGGCAAATTAGCCGAGACAAATAGCATCATTAAATAACAAAATCAACAACAAAAAAAAGTACATTTGGGTTTGCATCTGATCATGGAAACAACCCCACAAGAGTTTTAAGTCCAAATCTTTTACCTCAATTGTTGCCTCTGCAATAATCGACTGCCCATCATTCTTATCCACAAATAGTGTATAACTCTCATCGACCCCAAGTTGAAGCTGAAAATAACCAAAAACCCAAAAACAAAAAAAAAGTCAAAATTCACTGAATTAAAATATAAAACTGGAAAACCAATTCAGAATGAAAAATAAAAATAAAAAACCTTTATTCACTTACATCCTCGTTACCAGAATGAACCACAATTTTCAATTTACTAATATCATAATCCGATTTATATTTAAACCTCTGAAAAACAGAAAAACTATTAGTGTGCTTGAAGATAATCCTCTTGTATCTTTCAAACGCCTCTTTAACGATTATAGAGCTTCCTCCATTGCCACTGACAGCAAGCGTGAGGGCGGGGTCAATTGAGAGGGTTTGATTTCCGGAAGTGAACTCCGACGGCAGAGGCCAGACATAAGTGAGCGTGTCATCGAGTCCAAAGGCGAAATTCAGCCGTATAATTGCGAAGATTGTGAGAATTATTAGATATTTCAGTGACCCTAAGGACATAGTGGAGAAAAGAAAACACAAGACGAAGATGCAGAGGCAGAGTTAGAGAGAGAATTGTTGAAAGTAAGTGAATGAGTGTTGAATATACAAATGATTCTGTTTTTACAGTTAGGTGGATGTCTCCTTTGCGCTGTCAAGGCAAGGGAACGTTGACGCTACCGTGTTAACTGTAATTGAATTAAGGAAAAATTATTATTTGAATTTGACAAAATTAAAATTTTTTTTTTTTTGACATTACAAAATTAATTTTGTAATGTTCGATAAAAAAATATTATGAAATTTTATTTTTGCCTTACTATATGGCCCATCCTTCAAAAAAAAAATATTGATTTTCAGTTAAATTTTAATAAATAAAAATAAAAATACCCTTAACTATCCCCTCATCTTCTTCCCTTTGTCCCCTCATCTCTAAAGAATACCTTAAATCTTATAACGGTATTAACACTTTTGTTCTATTGCTCCCACCAATAAAAACCTCTATAAAAATATTGTCTAAAAAAAAAATCAAAGCATATATATACACACAGGAACGAGAGACACTGAAGCTTGTGGATTACAAGTGTAGGACCAAAGAATAGAAGGGAGCATTTTAATTTTGTAGGTGGCCGAACAGAGAATTGAGTTATAATGAGTAGTCTTGGGCTGCATCTGTCCCAATTTGTGATAGAATAGTCTTGGATTTAAAAGGGGAAAGAGAGATTAGAATATTCAGTTGTAGATTTTGATTTTGATTTTGTTGTTAAGGCCATTTTCATTTTGGTTCTGATTTTTATTTTTGATTTTAACATCTTGGTTCTGATTTCATTTTGCCACTGGTGGTGATTTCAGTGGCTTTTCCAATTTTGATTTTTGTTCCAAGAGAAAAAATGAAAGTGCAAACATGGAAGGGAGAGATAAAGTTATGGATGAATAGGCTTTTAATGGTTGAAGCAATAAAATAAAAGTAAGAACAAAATAGGACACAAGGAAGAAGGGAAACTTATAGATTTAGTCCCCGAATCTTTCAAAATTTTCTATTTTGATGTTTGATTGAAAAAATTCTGCAATTAAGTGTTCAAATCATTTAAAATTTTTCAATTAAGTATTTATCTCCTGCATAGACAGCCGGAATCGCCATTAGAATGGACGGCTAAGACCCATAAAACAGTAGTAAACATGCTCAGTAGGTTGAAAATGAGTGAACCATGTAGGATTCATGTGAGATGCACATGTTTTTGAGATAGAAATCACTGAGTTATCCATTGCTCATCCTCCACATCTTGGCACCACCCTCTTTCTCTCTCAGGCTCTCTCTCTCTCTCTCTCTCTCTCTCTCTCTCAACACTTCAAATCAAAGCTTCACGCATAACAAAAATAATCCAAAGTTTATTTATTTCCTTTACTAATTTTCATAAACTAAAATTTGAATTAATTTCTTTAAAATTAAAAAAGAATAGAAAATCAACTTCTTTAAACTTGATTAGCGATTCAACTCAAAACACACATATTGATTAACAATTCTTAAACCATAATCAGAAAATACCAAAAACACAGTTAGAGAATCAACTAAAATACAAACTAATTAAAATTTTCTTTAAAATCAACTAAAAAAATAGATAATCAGAAAATTTGAAATAAATAAATAATAATCTTTTGAATTCAACTCTACAATCATCAAACCATAAGCATTTCATTTTATTATTAGATATTCAATTGATAAACAAGGTTGGATTTTTCTTTCCTTGCGCTTATTCATCCGCAGGAAAGGGTGAAAAAAATTAGATTATGTTGCTATCAACATGAAATCCCCATCTGAATCTGAAAAGGAAAGTCCATATGAGCCAAAGAAACAACTGAGATTATCTCAAATAATGTAACTCCAACAATTTGCAAAATCCAAACTAAGCATCAATAAATACAACGCATCTCAGTTCTAAAATCAAATCTGTTAGAGCCGATTTTTCAAATGTTATCGTAGAGATCACCATAAACTTTAGAAAACTAAGATTTGCAGAAAGCCTTCAATATATAACAATCCTAAGATAGCAGGAGAAAACCTCAAATGTGTTTTTTGATAGCGCGGCTAAGGTTGAAGCAAGGCAATGTTAGACATCAGCTCTGATACCAGTTTTTGGGCATCAGCTCTGATACCAGTTGTTGGGCATCAGCTCTGATATCACTCGTTGGGCCCTTTCAACCAAGTAAGAGAAAATTAATGCAGCGGAAAAATAGAAATAGGACACACAGAAATTTACGTGGTTCACCCTCAACTGTTTAGGGCTATGTCCACGGAACAAACTCCGAATCATTCTTCCACTATTAAAAAATAGTTGGTATACAAAGAGAGTAATACAAAAATAGTTGCACTCAAAGTGTTTCCCAAAAACACCCCAAAATAATTTTTTCACTATTTTTCTCTCCCCTAGTTTTAGGAAACCCTTCCTAAAACTAGACACTCTCTCTACATTTTTTTTTCTTCTTCTTCTGCTGTGTGTGTTGTGCTGTGCTTAAATGAGCTTCGTCTGCCTCCTTTTATAGGCAGTTCAGTGAATGAGTCGTGTATAACTCTTTTACGTCTTTATACTTTGTCAAAGAAAAATTGCCTAACTTTTCTTCTTTTTCAAATAGCACGTTTTCCTTTTTTTTCTTTTCAAAGCGGGTGGGTCCCACATGTCGGAGGGACCCACAATAATTCTCCCCCTCCGACAACGTGATGGGACTCTCCATTCTTGGTGCTTTGACACACAGCTCAGACTCCACATTTTGCCTCAATTGTTGACAGGGTAACACACTTCTGTAATCTTGACTGCCACGACACGGCTCCCCCTGCAAATGTGATTGGATATCATGAAAATCCATTTCACTGCAGTCCAATGTTCCAATTGTTGACAGGTAACACACTTCTGTACATCTTGACTGGACCACGACACGGCTCCCCTGCAAATGTGAATTGGATATCATGAAAATCCATTTCAGATCAACTGCAGTCCCAATGTCCTACTTTTCCAGGATTTAAAGAAAACCGACTCATACTCCACTGAGTGAGCAATATCTGCCGTGCACTAAACCCATGACATTCATCAAGCTTAAACTGCTGAATGCATATGGCAATATTTTCCTTTCCTATCCTTCTCTCCATCCCGTAAGGCAACTTGTTTAGAACTCAATTTTAAAGTGAATTAGTAAGAGGAATAACTAACCGGTTTTAGCGTTTTCCATTCTAAACCTTTGAAAGTACTATTCTCAATGACTTCTCCTTAATGAACCATAATTTCTTGGCTCTTCGATCTTCATGCCAAGAATTTGCTTTCCTGGTCCCAAGTCTTTTCATAGCAAAAGACTTACATAGCTATTTCTTCAAGCTAGTAATTCTGACCAACAGTCACTATATCAACCACATAGAGCAAAAACAATGTAGTCATTATCAGAGAATTTCTTCATAAAAACATAGTGATCTGAAGTAGTCTTTCTGTAGTCTTGCTCCCCCATAACAGACTCAAACTTCTTGTACCATTGTCTCAATGCCTGCTTCAAGCCATACAGGTAAACTTGGCCACGATTCCGGAACCGGCGGTTCCGGTTCTAGAAAAACTGGAACCGGAACCGAACCGAAAAGGTCCCGTTTCGGTTCCGGTTTGGAACAATCTGGTTCCGGTTCCGGTTCCGGTTCCGATCCGGTTACAAAACCGATGATTCCGATCGGTTTTCCGGCGAATCGCATAATTTTAAATTTTAAATTTTGAAGGCGAAAGGTCCCCGTTTCGGTTCCGGTTTGGAACAAATCTGGTTCCGTTTCCGGTTCCGGTTCCGTCCGGTTATCAAAACCGATGATTCCCGATCGGTTTTCCTCCGGCGAATCGGCATAATTAAATTTTAAATTTGAAGGCCGGTTTAAAAAAAAAATTATTTGAACATAAAATTAAAAATCACCCTAAAAAATTTTAAAATTTTCTGGAAGAACCGGTTCAAAAAAGATTTATTTGAACATATCAAAATTAAAAATTACACCTAAAAATTACAAAAGTACCTTTTTCAATTAAATTTATTTTTTTAAGGACGTTTCAATTGGTTGTAGTGGTTGAACATAATTATTTTTTTTAAAAAAAATTTAATAGACTTTTTTATTTTTAAGTTTGAACATAATTTACCCAAAAAAAAAAGGCTCTCGAACTTAATTTTTTTTGTTTTAACCAAAATTAAAACCCGTTACGTAATGCCTAGTATCCTCTTGGGTTTTAGAGGAATCACAGCCCACGTATTTCTTACTTACATTTATTATTTACCAATTTCACCCCTTTTACTATAATGTTGTGCTATTTTGCCAGATAGCCCCCGGTCGGTTGATGTATTCACCGAGTTGAGGACCCATCCCGTATAAATCAACGTATAAAATCTTTCATTTTTCTTGTTTGGATTTTCCTTGGGCCTCTTAAGTTTCGGCTTTGGGTCCAAATCCATCCATGCATGAGCCTTGTTGCTTTAATGATCGGGTGTCATACCGAAGGATAGTGTTTCCATCAGTAACCATGTTTCCTCTTTGGGACTAAAAGCTTTGTCAACCGCCACAGTGGAGACCGGAGCTGCTAAAAATTAAATTTGTTTTGCAAGTAAAGAAAGAATTGAAAAAGTATTTGCGTGACGACTCCACCAATCTAAAATTGGAAAATCTGTATCTGCATAATCATTACCAAACTCAAAAGAAGTTGTTAAATAATTATCAAATTCAGAAATAGAACTGGATTTCTTTGTTCTTTTTTGTCTTTGTAATAAAACTTGTTGAGCAACACCAACACCACTTACCCTTTCTGTTGGAAATTATGGAATATTAGATTGAGAAGAAGTAGAAGTAGAAGTAGATGAAGTAGAAACTTGAACAAATTCATTATATAATTGCATAATATTTTGTTTGTTATAACTTCCGTGCATTACTCAATTATATTAACCAATTACTTATTCTACATCAAGATTTAATACGCATAAATATAGTCAAATAACTCACAAAACATCCAATTCCTACATCTAGGATCAAATAGCAAAGCAACAAGATAAAGTATGTGGTATAATTTTAAAAATAAGCAAACATTTTTTCTTTTTCAATTGAATAAAATACAATCTTTTAATAAAATCATACATTTTGAAATTCTTGAGTC